ACAAAAACACGAGACAACGTCGAAACAAGATGCAGGGACTGTGACCAAGGATCCATCGAACGTACCAGCGCGATAACCTAATCCATAGTATCGATTAGGAAATATAACCCAATTTTAGCTAACTGATTTACTCGCGCAAATGGATTAACTCAGCTTAAAGAGGGTCCACGGCGTTAACGCGTCGAATTGCTGCTTACTCCGTCCTTCCGCCATGCTTTCCCTTCCCCGTCTCTCTCCCCCCTCTTCCTCTTCCTCGCTGCAGTCGTTCATCTTGTTTTCAGCTACTCCCCTCGCTTCATTTGTCCGTTACGTGCAATCAGGAATCCGGTTGTCCGTAGTGAAACGGCTGTACAGCTGTCTGAAGGTTCTTAACCTAAGCTGTATTTATTTGTCACCGTCGAAGAAAATTCGCCGCGCTCGTCCGTCTCACTCGCCCTCCCCACGTTCGCAATCTCATTAAAGCTTTATCCGCGCCGCGGGAGTTGATTAGTGCTGCGCGTTACGGAATTGCGTTTCCGATGACAATTAAACGATCGAGCTGTGAACGTGGCCCTTTGCTTTATTCGATCCCAGCGCCACCGTCTGACGCGGTGGAAAAAGGTACTCAGTTCTTGCGAGATTCTCCTCTCACGTTGGAAAAACGTATATAACGGGTTAAACGTAAAATGGCATCAACTAATTGCCTCCGTTCGAATATTTTTAAATATTCCAAAGCTCACGGTTTACGATTATTTACCGACTATCCACTCGACACCAACGCGAATATATAAATCATAGCTATCCAAATATATTCGCATACTCGGTCCTAATAATAACGCACTCTGTATCTTGCTCGACGGAAAAATGTTGGAACAAGAAAAATTCGTTCACTAGATAGGAAACCAGGTATACATCTTAACGCTAGATTTACGGACGCTATGTATATACCCATTTCTACATATTTGACACCTGTCAAATTGACAGGTAAAGGAAACCACGTGTCATTTCTTTTTAACGATTAGTTTAATTTAAAAACAATTACAATATTAACAGTATTAATATAAGTTAACTAAATCTGTTATCATCGTATAATTAGGACAACCCATCCGTCAAATTGACGGGTTCCGTAAAACTGGTGTTAAACGAAACATCACGCTAGATGTCAGTGCGATCGAGTTCATTAAGCCACGTGTTTTTCGGGACAAATTACTCGATTCGCGATTCGCGAAGACGAGCAGAAACAACGATTGCAGAAAAGTGCAACGAGACGGGAAGGTCCCCTGGCGAGACGATTCAGAAGTCGAATAAGATGTCACTGGCCATCGTCCAACTTTTAAGACCCCCATTATTTCGCCATTAAAGTTCTTTCGCCGGTTGGTTTTTGCCGGCCGCGACGAGTCCGCCGATACTTTTAGTAAATTAATTTTCTGCTGCCGTCTGTTCTCAACTTAATGATCCTCAAAAGAAAAAGCAATATTTATTGCTCCCTACTATTCCTCCGCTTCTGCTGTCGCTCGGTCGGTAAAGCACCGACATCGGGACCTCTGCCAGACATATTTTCCTTTTCTTTTTTTTCTTCTCTCTCCTTTCTCCGTTTTACTCTCTTACATTCGCGTTGTTCGTGTTCCTTTTTTTCTTCGTTCCTCTCTTTGCGTCGTGTCTGATTGCTTCCTAGCCGGGGGAAATACGAGCAGACGTTTATAGGATCGCGAAGCGGCGAGAGCTGAGCGCGCGATTATTTATGGTGTTTGTCGAGCGTTGTTAAATAACTGATACGTTACGCGGGCTAGGTGCGACATCTTAATGATCCCTCGCGAGGCAAACACGGGAATTTTCCGGTCTAGCCGAGGTCGATAAAAAACACTGATGATGTAGTGGCAGAGAGTGACCTGGTGATTTTGCCGCGGGAAATTCCTTTGAAATTCCGTAATATAAATATTTGCCGCTACACTGTTTGTAGCAAGTCTCCTGTGCTTGTTTCGTGACGAATCGCTGTTTTAAAAGCATCTCGCTCGGAATTTTTGTTTGAGTTAGCGATATCGGTAAGTAAAACTGTTTCACCGTGAAATAATATTATTAGACGTACCAAAAATTTATATTTTAAATTTAGGTTCAGAAATCTTCAACGTTTCACGGTATCCCCGTTTGAAATTTGCCTCATCTCATCTCTGGATCCTCTCTAACGAAATGAGAGAAAGAAATGAAACCGAAATATCTAAAATTCACAGGACAACCTGCCTAGTTCCCCTTCCACTGGAATTATACGTTCGTTCTAGGTTCAAATGTTCGTTCGCCATTTTCCTCAATCGAAGAGGCGGCCAGCAGGCTATGCTCCAATTTGCGCCGTTTTCAGGCCGCATAATTCCGTCCCGTTGCTACAACACCTGCCCATCGTCGGGAGGTCGGCAGAATCTTAAGCGGAAAATTCAATATTGGCGCTTCAGGGTGGTATTGTTAAGTTCGTGCAGCCGCTTAGCCCGATTTCATCCGGCTATAGCAATAGCGTTATTCTTCTGTGGAATTTTTCGTGTCGAGAGAATCAGATATTGGCTGCATCGTTCGCAGTATGAGTTTTGGTGGTTAGGCAAAGCGTAGAGAAATTGTTTTTGACAGCGTGGCCCTTTGACTTTTATGCATGCCGTATACAGAGTATTTCCAAACAAGTATGGAAAACTGAAAAATTGAGAGACACTCCGAGAGAAATGAATTATGAACGTAAATCCTATTTCTGATTTTAAGCGTTCTGAAGTTTTACTACGAATCATCGATATATTATTCTAAGACTGTAAAAGTTTATTGATATTTAACAATTATATTTTAACACGTTGAGTGCTCTCTAGCTTAGTCCCTAGGGACTGACAGTAGACTTTTCGTTTGGACGGTGTGGATTCTAGGGACTGACAACGAACTTTTCGTTTGGTCGACATCGGTGCATGAGACTAGCATTGTCAAGGGTTAAATTATTAATGATAATTAATATATTGTAAAAACTATATTCCCTCTGCTGAAGTAAGTTTATCCTAGCAGGCCCTGCCTTAGACCAGGATGCTATTGGAAGGTGGGGAAGATATATGTATAGGAATTGGAGGTTTTCCGGGGACTTTCTCGCAAGTCCTCGAAGTCGGAATCCATCTAGAGGGTGAGAATGATGGTCGCTATAAATCTTTACACTTCCGTGGCTTTTTCTGACTGATCGTCTCCTGCTGATCGCCTCTTTGCCTTTCTGGCATTCCCCATCCCTTTATCTTCTGTCTATAATTTGTATATTTGTGCATTGGCTGCACCATTCTCACAGTCCAAACAGCAAAGTGAAACAAAATAATCTTCTCTTCATACTCTTCAGAATACTTGAGCGCTCGGCATCTAGTGCTCACTCGCTGCCGCCTGAGCGGAAAGTATAGCAAAATTGGCGCCTCACTTGACGATATTTTGGCTAGAGAAGAGTAGAAATTCAAAGATTCTCTACTAAAAAACTGACGATACTTCCTTGAACAGTAAATAAAAGATTGTATAATAATAAAATTATAGAATTATTTGACTTAGATACTTATAATTTGATATATTAATTAATATCGATCTTCCAAATTTTATGAAATAGTGACTGAAGCCCACCTCTCGAGTGCAAAGGGTTAAGTGTACAATGCTAGTAAATTTATTACCCAAATCATCGTGACGAAAGCTGTCGTTACTCTAGATGTTTCTCCCTTATGATCATACTGTAAAAAATGAATCAATAAACAGTTTAGGATGATCCGATGAAGTAACCGATAATTTAAATCGATTACGTGGATCTACTTACACGGATGAGAAAATTAAAATAGTTACAGATCTCTCGACGTTGTACGTTGTCCATCGTCACTGGATCTCCCTGTACTTATCCATGGTACCGTATTAAATCCCTGTTTCGACGTTGCCCTTTTCATCTAGCGCGCGAGGGCCAGCTCTCGATAGGGGGATGAAGATAAATATCGCTGGTGATGAAAATAAAATCCTTGACGTAGGTTCGACAGGGCTATAATACAGGGCTAGGCTTTAAGGTGTCACCCCGATGAGGTGGCCTCGCCGAAAGCGTGCTTGACACGCCATACAACCGCGTCTAGGTTAATAGGAGCGATTTTTACGCGCTGTCTCCATGCCATATGCCCTGTGAGCGCGTTTTTATTTCTTCTCCTTTTCTCCACTGGATGTCCTTTTTCTTCCTTGGATGGACACAGTGTGTGGGTTCTTCGTTTGCTTCTGCACGGTGTGTTTGATGTCGAATGAAGGTTGTTGACGGTCAAAAGGATTGGATTGGCTGAAAAGCGAAGTGGTTAAGTTTTTGATTTAGCAATGAATTCAATAGTGAGCTAATATAACATTTGTTTTAAAAATCCTGCACCTTTCGTTATGGACTTCGCAATTAAGTTCCACTAATTTTTCCTGCAACTGTTGTATTAAAGTTATGTTAAATTTTTGACAAGAACTGTTATATTAAATTTTCGTGCCAATTTGTAGCTCTGAAATTACAGTCACACTGCCAGACTCTATATCTAGTATTTTTTAATCACTCGGATCTACTGTGCACGCGTTATCTTCGTCTCAGAATCAATTAGAATGACAGTGTGTACAGTGCTTTTGGAAGGAATGTATTGAATACATTAATTCTTTGCACTCGACGATTAGTATAGATCGGGCGGACGGTTAGAACTGGCCAGTTAGGGGCCACTCAGGTCACAGGATGTCTCCAGAAAACAGGAGACAAAAGACAAAATGCAGGGATCAATTTATTGAACGGGCGAACGGTTAGAACTGGCCAGTTTGGGGCCACTCAGGTCACAGGATGTCTCCAGAAAACAGGAGACAAAAGACAAAATGCAGGGATCACCCCCGCATCCGCTAGGATGTAGAGTTTACTTTACTATTTAATTTTACTACGACAAAAGGGTTAAGTAATTAAGTAATACATTAAGTAATGTATTCGATACATTAGCAATGTCAATTTGAGAAATAATGACCATGGTTCTTCTTTGCTCGTGTTACAGGCTTCCGCCACCGCAGCAGCAGGTGACAGTTGGCTCTCTAGGTGGTGGTTTGGGGGCAGCCGCTGGAAATGGTGGCACAGACACAGTGGGCGCTCAAGGTCAAGCCATGGTAATGCCAGGATTTCCACTTCGGGCTGCAGCGGTGCCGCATTATTCACCGTATTCGCCGTCACGTTTTCACATCGACAAACGGTGCCAGCACAAATGCTCCTGGAAGTGTTTCTCAATCGCACTGATCCTCCTTGCTGTTGCGCTGACAGCGATGCTGGCTTACTTTGCCAGTAAGTAAACGCAATACAACGTAGAATATTCAATCGACTAATAAGTTTTACGAGGACGTCTCGTGAATTTTAAGAAGCGTTGTCTCTTGGGTCTTCCTTTCCCTGTCTGGCCTGAAAATTGACGTGGTGAGAGTGAGATTCAGAAGAGTGAGAGTAGAATATAACAAGAACCACGATAATTGGAACGGTTGATAAGTTGTATAATATTAAATTTCCTTAAACATTGAGTAATTTCAAATTCAAAAGATTCCAAAAATTTAAAAAGCTCTAGTCATTAGACTGAATCATGCATACACAGCTTTATCCTGTTTTATAACTATCATAAACGTAGGCATATACTTTGATTGGCGAATACTAGGAATAAAGATGTTATTTAATTTCAATATATCTTTATTACGAGCAAAAGAGACTCATTAGAGATATTCATGTTTGGCCTGAAACGTCGATAACGAGTCACACTCGTGATATCCACGTTTGGCATGAAATTAAACAACGAGCCTCACTCGTGATATTCGAGTTTGGCCTAAAATTTTCATCACGTGTCAGACTCGTGAAAATAGTGCAAGGGGTTAACTTTGCACTGTCTTCTTTCATACTCGAGCTTTCTTTCTCAATCATGCATTTCCCATAGCCTTGCTCTCGGTGGGTCACGTACCCTAAACATTTAGTTACCTTTCGCTCTTCACTTGCATTCCATAGAGTCATAAATATCTCGTTCATCCGATCCTTGCACGCGGTCACTCGTCCTTCCATGGGCACTTTAGACGTCATTCTAAACATTCGTTCTGAACCCTAGGTTGCCGTTTATTGCTCGTCGCCAGCTAGATAGGTCCAAGGGTTTCTTTGCACTAATTCTTGCACTTGTTATTCCTATATGTATACACACCTTTATCCTGTTTTATAACTAGTATAAATTACCATTAATCCAAGCGTGACGTTAAAGGCATTAACTCCTTTGACTGCCACGCCGAAATTACATGTTTCCCTCAGGACGCCACGGGAGTGCAACCGCTAGATGCAAAATTTGTTTTAATATTTTTTACGTTCTAATACAAATTTTTAATTGTTCAATGGAGCATTTCTTACTTCAAAGTATCTTCTAATTAGCGGTTATAATCAATATGCACTAACTGTCAATTTTCATTCAATGTTGTTCAATGTAGTTTAAGTAGTTCAAGCGCTCGATCACTGTGGCGCCACAGGAGAACTATGGCCGGTCATATATGACCAACGTCGCAGTCAGTGTTACCCGACCAAGCCACTCAACCTCGATGCTGTTAACATAAGTGAAAAATGTCAGAATACCATAGTCCCTCTCTCAGCTTTTGTAATTCCGCTTCGGCAGTAGGTATATCACAGGTTTTCAGAAATCCAGAGGACTCGAATTTGGGTTGTGGTTAATCGATGAGCGAGTGTGTTGAGAAATTCGCCAGTGCGGTTCGCGGTGACGCGAAAACGGTCGCGATCAAAGGGCTGTCTGCGCGGGAATCAAAATACAGTTAATTCATCTATTATGTATGAGTAGGTCCGTCGATCGGCCAGTAGCTGGCTCTTATTTACGCTGGCCTCCGTGAATTTATCGCCACTCCGCTTGGAAAATCCTTCTGCCCATTAATCCGCAGTTCACGCTACAATAACTCATTATCAAGTTGCAGATTTGGTTAGGGAGACGAGATGCACGGTCGAAATTCACCTGGACTTCGATTTGCCTAACTTGCAATATATAATCTCCCTGCAAACGGAAATGCCGAGTTTGTCATGTTCATCCGATTTCGATTTGATGAAAATCGTCCCGCGTGGGTCTGTGGTGTATCGTCGATAGCACTGAACGAGTGCCTGATTGGGCTTTTGTATGTCCACTTTCTAGTCTCAATATTCGAAATTCATTTTTCCTAAGAGATTCTGTGCAATTTAAAAAAAGAAACAAATATTGGAATAATAATTTAAACCCTTTGTACTCGACGATTTTTTGGCTAAAGAAGGGTAGGAGTTGAAAAATTTTCTGCTATAAAGCTGATGATATTTTTTGAGCAGTAAATAACAAATCGTATAATAATTAACACGTAGAATTATTTAATTTCGTTACCTCGCACACTGTTACATTATTTTAAATTTGATATATTAGTTAATATCGAGCTTCGAAATTTATCAAATGACGACTGAAGGGCGCCTCTCCAGTGTAAGGGGTTAACACTAGAACTACCAATCCAGTGAAAATGACTGGTCCCACAATTTTCCTTTTTGCAGTCACCGAACACATACACCTGCTTTAAGAATAAAATTGGTATCAACTTATATTAACCCTTTGCCTACGGCAGATTTTGATACACAGCGACCGTACCATACGGTAGGAATTCAGTTACGATATGCGCCATTTTTGTGAAAACAAGCGTCCTCCGTGTCAAAAAGCCTAACTACGTCGAGCACCTATAGGCGCCCTCTGTGTCACAAACGCAAAATTTCTAAGCGTCCATAGGCGCCCACCGTAATCAAGGGGTTAAGCAAAAACTGTAATCGATATATTCACTCATATTCATCATACCGCTGAAATTACTATAGTCTGTGCACGTTATAGTTAGATACCTATTAAAGGTTGGTAGTTCTAGCGTTAAGACGTTTAGTAATCATTGTATCTCTCGTACCTTCGCATCACTGGCAGATTTATTATGTGATGAGAAGGATTTGATATGCTAGTTCCATTGGTACGAAATTTCATGGTTTATTATCCCAATGAAGATCAATCAGGTCGCAAATGTGTTCCCTCTTCGAATTTGCACGCGCTGTTGGACAACGACATCGGCAGCGTTTTATGAACGAGCAGTAATGGAGCTAAAATTAAAATTCATCTAGCATTTCACCTGCTCCCCCATATCGCTTGTTTCGTACCGTTAACGCAACACGCATGGGGATCGAAATTTTTCACTGCGCTTCCTGCTTTCTAACTATTCCGTTCCCTTTCCCCATTCATCGTGAAATGTATTTATCAGGCCTGTGTCGTTAAACGGCGCGCCTCTTTTTTAACATAATATTTCAATAAAACTCGGCTGGCCGTGGATCATTCGGTAAAGCTATTGGTTCCCTTTTTTAACGGGATGTTTCAGTTAAAATCAACCATTAGCCGGTGAAAATCGAGTTCTCTTTTTTTCGCTTGCCGGCGAGAATATTTCTTCTTTTGTTTTCTCTTTTGCCGTTGACATTAAATTTTTGGCCAGAAAGATGTGAAATATTTAACATCAAAGTGCGTGGTGTTGGGATTTTTTTATGAAAAACGTGTTCCATTAATTTATAATATATTCCGGGCACCTTTTGTTTCTTATTCATATCAAATTTCAACTATTTCATTATGAAATATTTAATATTGACACGTTATTTTCTTTATAGTGGAAAATTTTAATGATACTTTGTATAGTTCATAATGGAGGAATTCTTTATGTGCAGAATTTCACTCAGGAATGAAGCCATGAAATATTCAACTGTGAATGTGTCACTTTTAATAGCGATTTTCTTTTTTCCTACCCCCTTTCTTTCTTGTCTTTCCATCTTTATTAAACATTCATCGGAATCAGAATTTTTTCCATTAAATTTTACCCAGGAACATCAAATTATGGAATATTTAGTTGCTTCTGGACAAGTTCTTTCATTCCCTCTTCTCTTTCATTTTCACGTTTATTATATATTCAGCGTGAACCTGAAAAGTAACCTCTTCGTTTAAACAAGGAATTATAATTACATCTTTACGATAAGTAAAATACCAAACTTCCTTTTTTACCGATAAAAATCAAACATATATAATATTCTCAACGATACCATTATTCCTCGTCTACGATGAAAGCAAAGTTTCATTTATTTCCCCTCGATACAAACGTTCCATAAAAATTTCAATTCCTAACCTTCAAAACTCTCTCGACTATCCTAACCTCTTTCTTCCGTTTCCTTTCATCAGCCGATTTTATCATAACGGCTAAACTGCGAGATACTTGAACACCAATAACAAAGGCTTCCTCTTCCGTTTTTCCTCATCACGAAAATATTTCAGCAAATGTCATCGCTGTGAGATGCACGAGCGTCTGCGGAGGTAAATAGCGGGGATATAGCGCTGCTTTAGGTAGCGGCGGTGACATCTAGCGGGCAGAGGGGAAAGCTAGATCTGCCGGTGAGCGTAGATGTTCTCCCGCGGTACGCACACCCGCAAATTAAATACCGTTTAACGACGGAAGTCCGGATCTTCGATAGGAAGTGCGCGGAGCCGCGTGGTAAACATTACTAGCGCAATGGTTCGTTTAGTAGCAAGCGGCGGTTGCCTCCATCCGGTTGGGGGAGAGGTGAAAATATTGTCGACCGATGGCGAGGAAGCGCTTCGACAGTGTGGTCCGCGTTTCCGGCCAATAATGATCAGCCTGGAGAAACACTGTGCTCTCTGCCCCGTCGTTCGTTGGGGAGTGTGTAAAGGGCGAGTTTGAACGGTCACGCGAGAATCGATCATGCGAGGAACGCTCGTGATATCGATTCGATTTTGATGGCTAGGGAAATTGGAAGATGGAGAATTCTGTTTTAGTATTATCGATCGGTGAAAAGATTTCCCGTTAACTTTGAAACGTTAATGTTGCTTTCACTCGTTTTTAGGTTATGAATGTAAATATAGAATAGGAACGATAGAACAGTATAATAGTTTTGAAATAACATTAATAGTCACAAGATATGCTTTTTTAATCATTTTCTTTTTAATTGCTGAATTTGGGAATTGATTAATTCTATTAATATTAGGTTTTTCCGATATATTTTTTCCTCGAATAAATAATATTAGATTTTTATTATTACCACCTTCTTTATTATTATTATTAATTAGGAGAATTTTTAATTTTACATCAGGAATTGAATTAATATGAAATAAATTAAGTTAGTTAATTGTACAGTTTTTAATTGCGATTAGAAGATGGCGCTGCCTCCTTATTCTTTAATAAGATGTCTGCCACCATAACTGCTCCTTTGAAATGTACAGA